CAAGCACCACCGCTCATGCAGCCCGTAATGCAGAAGAAAGAGTTGCCTAACGGTGACAGTCATCGGCAGTAACATCTGTTCATCCAACGTCCTCTCGCGTTCAAGCTGGGTTAGGTGTCGCCAGTAACACGCGTCCATTTCCAGCGGCTGTTATATTGTACTGCACATGACGGAAGCAAACCTTGAGGATAATTTAACAGTTGCATCACGCGTGACTGCATCTCCATATATCCCTGTCTGTCTGCCTGTCGCGTTAGATTATTAAAATACTTTTCAGCCAGAATATTCAATGCGGATGTTGTATCTTCTGAAGTTTGGTACGAACAAGTTTAGATGTTAAAAGCCGGTTATTTTAGTTGTGTGGTGTTTCGTGCTCCTGCTTTTAAGAGCGTTAAACCAAGGGCGTCCCTCATGTAACATGGTTCACTCTGCAGCAATGATTGGTGGCATTTATTTGGCGTGCTTCTGTTGCACTGGAATTGTCATTTGTCTGGATGCGCAACGTGTAATATAATCGAATACACGCCGTTGCGGTCTGTCCAGTCGAGTAACACTTCCTTAAATCGACAGTAACTTTAGGCATAATTTTAGAGTGAGACTATGCTGCTGAATGGGAGGTTCGAAATGCCACCCTTAATTTAGTGTCTGGAGATTTAACTATGGTTTCTCTGGAGTGTACACGTGGGAGCAACCGTTCGTGATTCATGTCATTCAAGTGCAGAACTGGTTTCATGCATTTCTCAAGTTAAACATCAACTGACAAGGGATCTCTATGCAACAACTACCACGTAATAGTAATATTATATACACCATGGAGCATGCAATATCATGATTAGAAACATCATGTACCATGCAATACCATGTTTATATCACCTCTTACCATTCAAACAGATTCCCTCCCTGCTGTTTCACAGGAGGGAAAATCTATATTTTTGTAAAGGCCATGCAATAGATTGTAAAAAAACACAAATGAGTCATTAGTTTTAGAATATCCACAGGCCACTGCTTTTCCGTTTTTCAAAAGGGCAAGTTCCATTTCTGAAAATGGCCGGTTTCTTTTTTATTTTTTGTTTTTAATCTTTATGGTTGCATTTTGTGCTTCTTTTCCATTTATTCATTCTACTGCAGACACAGACCAGGCAAGCTGTAGTCATTTCTGTGTAGTGTTGCTAAATGACAAGTCTGTGTAAATATCCCTCCCCCTCATTTCATCAGTTAAAACAGCTGGAACAGTGCTCCTGTTTATCTCATGTTAAGCTAATTGTTTTTTAATTTTACATTCAATATGATTTTGAAATTCCCAATTTCCGGTTTTCCCAAAGGCAAATGCCATTCAAAACTGGAAGTTTCATTTCCAAAGGCAAGTCCCTCTGGCATGTCATTGGTTTCAGGGACCTGTGTGTATTGCGTTAACTGCATTTTGTACCAGTGTACTCCCTGTACCATAAATGTTTTTAATGAAGTATGTGTTTCAAAATGTAACTCCAGTGTGATTCTCATCTCACTACATATCCAGAACTAGAATTGTGCCTTTCTGGGTCTGCATTTTTACCAGCATTGGGGTCAATTCTATTTCAGTTCAGTCAATTCAACACATTAATTGAAATACAATCCATTAATTAAAAAGATCTGACTAGGAAATGTTGGGTGATTTTCAATTCATGAATTGATTTTTTTATTGACTCCCCGCAGTGACTAAATTGAAATGGAATTGACGCCAGCTGATTTTTGATTTGTGATTTTTACACCCCTGAGCTTTTCCATTGGTCTGCTGTTAAGGACCAAGGACCTTTTACTCACCGCTGTTAGTCATCCACTGAAATGGGCTCAAGAAAATGAAAGTATTGTTGTGGACTCTTCAGAGCGATGAACAGCATACCTATTGGTTCCTAGTAGAAAGGTTATAACAAGAATGTTTTTGTTTAGCTGCTTATTCCCATGGCACCCATTGACAGTGCTATGATGGTTTGTGAAGTGGTACAGGTAGGTGTGGTCTGACACCAGTCTGCATGGTCTTCTCCTCTCAGCCCACATAAACCATACCCTCTGAGTGCCTGTTTTGTGCTATGTGAAGGTTTGTGTTGTGTGTGCCCCTGTGTGGATTCAGATATGTCAAACAAACTTGTTTCAGGGACTGATTCTTTCAGCTGACTCATTACTTTATCACGAGCTCTGTTGCTGTGCTGTGAATTATGCATCTGTGCATCTCAAATAATGCCTTGTACTCACTGAAATTGCATGACGTGAAGGTAGGCTTGATGTAGTTGGCCGGGAGTGTCAGGTGTGAATACATCACTGGTACACTGATCTTTGGTACGGCAGTTGATGGACCTCAAAGCTTGAAATTGGATCCAAAGGAAATGTATTAGGCAAATAGCTGATGATGAAAATGCAAACAGTTTGATGAAAATGTTATCACGTATTAATCCTTCTTGAGAGTAATGCAGAACAGTGTTTATCAAGTCAAATTAACTGTGGAGCCACTAAACCATGTTTTAGAAGTGTTTGGTGACTCCCTCTCTAGATGGGTAGCTGGACATTTACTGAGACAGTTTGGGTTAAGTGCTTATCCCAAAGTTACAACAGCTGTGCCATGTATGGGAGTTGAACCAGCAACTTTTGGGTTACACCAGACTGCTGAATTAGCAAGCAGTTAGTGATCAGGTGATAACTGGGTAATTTCCAATAATAGAATGAAATTACAAAGAAACAATGTTTTTTAAAAAGTTTTTCATATTTTCAGATTTGTTGTTCGAATTTATATTAGGTTCAAATATTGAAGTAATCTGAAAATGGAAAAATCTGAGGATTATCAAAGATAATCCCTGCATTCTGAGTCATGATAAATTTCTTGATTATTCTCAAACCTGAGTGCTTCTGTTCTGTGCTGAAGAGCTAACCTCCTCTGGTACAAGCTTAAAGAAAAACACAAAAAAACTCTTATGACGGAAAGCTAGCAAGGGTGGGAAACTGTTACACACCCTTTAGTTAGCATGTGAGTATTGCAGTTTTGAAAGTACAAGTGTAATTTGCTTTGTGCAAAAGCTTTCTGTGCAATGTGTTACTAGGGTTATTGTATTTTTGCAGGTCTGTTAAAGACCCAGAGAAGCTTTCTGCTCCGTAGCCACAAAGGACCTCACAAATAATGCACAGTCCTCTGAGGTTTGGGGGAAGTACAGGAAATGTACTGCACGATGCCGTTAAGCTGCAAGATCAAACATATTGCTTTGTGTCTCTAGGCCAGGGGAGTGGCGGGGGACTTTGATCAGCATGGACGTTTGACTGAAAGGCGCAAATTGCCATGCAGAGTTCGGGAGATGGGAGTCTTGACGTGGATATGTCTCGCCAAACACTCCACATGGCTGCCTGTGGCCCTGCGGCTAGGTCGTGAGGTCACTTCCTGTGATTTTTTTGTAATGCACAAACTGTAGCAGTCAACTGTTGAGGCTGATCCGCATTAAACTGATACCCGCTCCTGACCTGAAAGATATGCTCTGAGTTACCACACCTTTGAAATACAGGTTTTGTCCTGAACATTTTGGTTGGGTTGAAGTACCTTTCACTGAAACTTAATCTTTGTTCTGGTGCTCTCACCGAAATACTGTTGACGTGAGTGTGCATAGTGTGTCACTGAAGGGAAAACAAGAGCTCTTATAGGAGCTCTACTCTTATAATATATCACTTAACTGTTGTAAAGATGGCCCTTGATTCAAAAACAAAGGCATTAATATCTCTCCACAGGGCTGTGAAGGTGTCGTTTCAACACCCAGAATCCTTTTGGTTAATTTAATTAAAAATGCCCCCTCTGGATGGAACTGGATGGAGTTGTTTTACAGCTGCAGAGACATTTCAGTGAAACTTGACATCCAACATAAAGAACTCGACATCCAACGTAAAAAAAGCTCTTGTGAGCCGCCATGGTGCGGAGCCTCGCAAACTTGATATCTAGGGTCGGGACTGGCTAGAGGGGGTAAGAAACCCAAAATAAACAAATTGGGAATATCGTTTTACTTTTTCTCCCGTTCCTCTTCTTTCCAGACCCCACAAAATGTTGCTTCTAATATCGTGGAACACGGTGAAGTGGTTTGGTTGATTGTCAAGACTGTCTCCTGCAATTAAGCAATATGTAAAATATAGGGGAGTTTTTTTATTTGGTAGTGAGTATACCAAGGATAATAGCTGAAATATAGACCTAGTATTATAGGGATCATGAAAAATAAAAAAAGAAGTAAAAAAAGACCAAAATCCTGTTGAATATGCTTAAACAGTTGATACAGTGTCCATCTAAGTTATGATCTGCGGGATTGTTCAAGTTTGGCTTTTTTGATACCTGTCATTACATTCCAGCATATTAGCTACAACAGAGGTGGGGACCCCATGTTCCTAGGGGCCCACAGGGTCTGCTGGTTAAGTGCTTTGGTACAAAATTTAGCTTAAATTGTTCTTTGAGGGGAGAGTCCCCTCGCCAGCTGTTCCAGGTATAAATCTGATGCAGACTGAGATAAAGTCTGGTTGTCCAGCTAGCGATGAAGTCAGTCTCTTCACTATTTAGGAAAAATGATTCACAGCAGACCCTGTGACCCCCCTTAGGAACACGGCCTCCTTAATTCTGGACTGCAGTCTAGGCTTTAGGTTCAGTGTCTGCCGCGGGAGACATGACACTTATTTTATAATTGGACACCTGTCAGCATTCAGTCTGGCAGGTTTGGCATTCATATTCCACATCTCTCTGGGCTGTTTTCTGTGAGTCTAGCTAATGTTGTCCAAGGTTTGTATGGGTGTAGTTTGTTATATTTGTGCTGACCAGTCAGAGACAACTCTGCCTTTAGCACCATGATAGAGGAACAGGTTGTTTGGATTACAGGTACATTTCCCTCCATAGACTTTTGGATCTTGGTGTCACTGCTGGTCCGTTTTAAAGGTAGTTTGAGAACACGCCAGACATATTCACATCATGCAGATGAACACTGTCATCAAAAACATCACCTTCGATTAGCTGTGGCGGTGTAGCATAGTGGTAAGGTGAAGGGCTCGTGACCAATAGGTTTCCGGTTCGATTTCCCGCTGGGCCACTGCTGCTGTACCCTTGGGCAAGGTACTTAACCCACAATTGCCTCAGTAAATATACAGCTGTATAAATGGATAACATGTATAAAATGTAACATATGTAAGTCGCTCTGGATAAAAGCGTCTGCTAAATGACAATAATGTAATGTAATGGATTAGGCCTAGGTGCTGTTTGGAGTGTAACGCTAAATGCTGGAGATTTCCAGAAACACGCCTTTGATGTGACCTGAATACAAGCACTACTCAAGCTGAACATGAACCCAAAAAGTCGTTTTTAACCTGCAGCTGCAAAGCTTCAGACCGCTCTGGATTAACTTGGAGCAGACCCACAAATGAGGCTGCTCCTTCTGCTCCGTTTTAAGAAGCCGCCTGTCCTTTTTCACCCATGTGACTCGCGGCTGATCTGGGTTTGTAACCGTAACCGCCGGCGCAGCGCGGGCCGCAGCACCTCGCTAGCGTTGCTCAGCCCGTGCTGATCTCAGCACAGACCCGCAAGGTCTCTCCTCAGAGCATTAAAATTAATGATGCAACCTCCTATAAAGTTGTAGCCAGGCCCCATTAAAACAAGGAGCCCTGGTGTTTCTGTGGAGCGTGGGCCAGCAGTGTGGTGTAGTAGTAAGGAATAGGACTAGTACCTAAAAAGTTGCTGGTTCAATTCTCCACTGGGGTACTGCTGTTATACCTTTGGGCAAGGTACTTAAACCACAATTGCCTCAGTAAATATCCTGCTGTATAAATAATCATAAAATTGTCACCTATCTAAGTCGCTTTGGATAAGAATGTCCTCTAAATGACAATAACACAATGTAATGACAATAAAGTAATTTAATGTACCCACAGTGTACCGTGTCACCCATATGGCCCCACTTGAGACAGACTTGAAAGGCCTCAGCGCTTCTCTGACACAACCGCGTTCGTTCTGAATAACCGGCGTCTGAACAAACAGGCTCTGAAGGTGACCAGGAAGAGCAGATATTGTTTTCCATTTCAGCGCAGAAGCGGCGTCTCCCGCGCGGAGCGGCGCTGTGAACCCTCAGCAGGCCGAAAAGGGCCCGGGGATTATGCTGTGTAAACAGAGCGGCGGTTTCGACGGGAAGCAGATGCCCCTCTCTCTCCCGGGAGCGGCTCTTCTCTTCCACGCCGCACCGCTCGCTGACAAAATTGTCGTCGACATCCCGGTTTAACGTCTTCTTTTATTTAACCCCCTTCCCCTTCCCCCATTCCCCACCCCTCACAGTTTTCTTCATGTTCAGGTCACCACGTTTGCCTCCAGCAGAGAGGCAGCAGCTTCAGTTAAGTCTTTTCAACTTTTAATTTTCTCCTCTCCGCCTTTCATGGCGAGCGTTTTGCGGTTGCCGCGTGCACGCCACATCAGATAAGTCGCTGAGGTAACCCCCCAAATATGAAAGTGCCTCAGGGGGGAATATTTCTCTCAGAAGTCGGCTGCTGGTACTCGGTGCTCCTGCCTTTTCATCGCGGCGGATCTGGGGGAATGCCTCTCGGCTTTCAGCGCGGGCGATTGAGGTGTTGGGTGATCCGACCGTCCCTTGTTGCTGAGCGGTGTAATTATCCTCCACAATAGCGCCACTGTGAACCATAATCTGAAATGCAGCCTATATTTTGAGAGCGAAATGGGGAACGCCCGGTCTTCTGCCTCCTTCACTGCGAGACAGGTATCGATTTCAAGGGCAGTGGCAGCGTTCAGAATGTTTGCGTGGTTTGGTTTAAAGGGCACTCAGAGTGGTTCTCTGAAAATCAGCAGGAGTTTATTTGCAAGTTTATAACTTATTATTATCATTTAACGTGATTGAACACACACACACACACACACACTCACATGTATATATTATATATACTTGGTTAAACTGAACAGGGGTTTTGTGGGAAGAGTCAGTCAGTGGGCCAAAATGAAAATGAACATGGTTTGACATATGAAGCACAGCTCACTTCAGAAAGCCTCACAAGGCTGATTTGTAAGTGCATGTTTTGTCTGACCAGGGGCTTCCTGTTTCTCTTTTTATGTAAGAAAATCTCTGTGTACAGTGTGTCTCTGTGAACCTCAGCTTAGGAAGGCTAGGCCTTACAGAAAGTGCTGCTCTCTTGTTCTGGTCAGAAGACATGGTGGAAGCTAAGGGAAGTCTCACATTGACTCATGGCATGTTTAGACTCACATCAGCTGGTTTCCACTGTAACTGATTCCAAGCAACAACAGCAGCAAACATTGAGTAAAGGGCCATCTGCCTGCTGTATCAGCAATTTGACATGTGTCTGTACAGAACTTAAGAATAATATATAAATGTATACTATAATATTTGAATGTATACATATATGAAAGTGTATTCATATACATTCATTATACGTGTATGTCCTGGTTTACGAGCTTCAGAATTCTTTGCATTGGGATTAAAAGACACCATATTTGAGGGTAATGTTAAACATTTGATATTAGTGGAGGCTGGTATAGAATTTGATGTCATCCTTTTTAAAATATTCACCACAGAAAGCATGTAAAGAATGTCCTATTTCTGTCCCGTTTTTGTACTGTACCACAGTACTTCTGTATTTACTGTGAAGTGGACAGTGCGGCGCTGTTTATAATTAACACCCCTTACATGTAAAATTCAGGAGGAGAGAGGTAAATGGAGTGAGTGGCTGAACAAGGGGCCTGTGAGCCTATTAAGGGCGAGGCCGCCCTCAGAGCGAGGGAGTTGCCTGCAGCAGCGCCATTGAACAATTGGTTTTCTTGCCTTGAAACACGACACACCCCCGCTTGACTGAATAATAATTTGCCTACCTTCTGACACATCTCCCTCACAACTTCTGAGTCTGCTTATACAGACAGAGTGCATCGGTGCTGAACCAGGATCATTTGTGATTCTCTCAAGGCTTCTCAGTCAGCGAAGACAGAGCATACCAGGGCACCTCAGCACTGAACCAGGATCAGTTTTGGTTTGGTATGCACTACACAAGTGCGTGCTGAAAGCACACGTTATTTTCTCAAGTATCTCATGCCAGTTATTCCTTCTTTAATCAAAATGCCTATTTCTAGATTATCTTAGATAGCTAAAATTGTAAAAAAAAATCTTCCTTGATACCGCTGGGTATTTCCCAAAGTGTCTCACTGCAAGCTGTAACAGCAGCAGTGAACGGTTGAGTCAAACCTGCTACATCAGGGTGCAAGCAAATAAACATAGACTTCTAACAAGCTTTGCAGTAATTCTGGTAACGTTAAACACTTGACAAATCTGTATACACCTGGAACAACCCCAATAGTGACAGATGTGTTTACACCAGCCTCTCCACAGAGCCAGAATAGAGCCTTAAACAACCTATTGAGTTCTTTATTTACAGTTTTGTCAAGTGTGACATAATATTATGATGTGAGAGTTGCCTGTAAGCACAAAAGCGTCCCACAGCGAGCGGCTCATTGAAACAAGTTTATCTTTTCAAGGGCTTTTGAAAACGATCAGCCATCCAGGGTCCTCCTAATTGAAACGTCTCGGCTGACCCGCGGCACTCAAACGGAAGGCCCTCTCTTTCGTCCCCCCCACCCGGGTGTCAGGGGGGGTCGGAGGCCCCACACGAGAGGGACAAAGAGGTGCCCGAGCGACAGAGAGGCTGTTTTCCGCCAAATTAGACACGGGGCTGCAGGCCTGAATATCGCTTCCGAAACGAAGGGTGGCGACGGCACGCTCTTTCACCGTGACAAACGGCACGCTGGGGGGTTGCGTTGGAGAGGGTGGGCGGGGGGGATGTTTTTCATGCCATCGTTTCCTGAAAAACGGCTGGATCCACACCTCCACAAAGCGCCGGGGGCCCCCTCGTCTCCTCTCTCTCGGCACCGGACAAAGGCCCGCGTTTGGGAGCCCCGCGTCTGGCCTCGCTGTTCGGCCGCTTTGAAGACCCTCACCCTCGGGGGGGGGGGAGCATTCAAAGAGCCGCAGGGGGCTCCTGGTAATTGCTTTACGACACGCCAGAAATGGTACCTGCTTGAATAGGGGGGTGACAGCAGAGAACGAGCGGTGACGGTTCGAGGCTCTCTGTGTAAAAAGCGGGTGTTGGAGCGGGGGGAGGGTGGGGGTGGGAGCCAGGCGAGCCGGCGGAGGCTTGAAGGAGGAACTGGGTGGTAAACGATCACTCTCGCAGTTTTGTCAATGAAAGGAGGGCGACAGGGCGGGGGAGAGAGGGTGTGGAGGAAGCTGTTTGTTGAGGCATGGTTTATGTGGGCTGTCTTGGCAGGTTTCTTCTGCTCTGCCTCCATAAAATGTTTTTCTTTCTTTTCTTCACGTGTGGATTCCAAAAATAAAGCTGTGATATTTGAGTCAGAGCTTAGCAGGAAGGATTATGATTTTAGTCGTGAGGAGAAAAGTGAGGCTGGAAGTGTTTTTCTCTGGGGTGGGTCACACTTTTCATTTTCTAATGGGGAAATGACCATTACATTACATTATCTTATTGTCATTTAGCAGACACTCTTAGCTCCAGAGTGTCTCTTCTAGTGTCTAATAAAGTGTCATGAAAAGTAGCACAAACAGGACACCAGTAACCACATATGAACAAGCGTTAGTGCCAAAACAAATGACCAAAACAACTCAAATGTCTTTGAAGTGGAGCCTTTAATGCAGAAAGACCAAAATAAACTGTATATATAGCCAATTGTCCTCTTCCCTCCATTTTCTAATCTATTTCATTTGTTGCTTTCTTTTATTGTCCAAACCTCACCCAAAGTATGACAGGCGTCAGGTGAGTGAGATGTTGGTAGTTGGCAGTAGTGGCGCAGGGCACCCAAACCACACTTCACCAGTTACACTTACTTTACAGCACTGGTGCTTCATGGATCACGTGTCCGTGCCAGAACTGAGTAACGCAAGCTACTCTGTGGCAGGTTCTCCCGGTGCGGTGGAAATCACCAAGCAAATTCCAAAAGGTATACTGTGTCCCGGGGCCTAAGGCATCGGGTTATCGGAGCCCTCCTTATCGTGGGAGGACACAGGTGTATCAGGTGCTC